AACCTCCGCCTCCCAGGCTCAAGCAATTCTCCTCTCTCAGCCTTCTGAGAAGCTGGGACTACAGGCCTGTGCCGTCACACCCAGCTAATTTTTGTGTTTTTCGTAGAGACGGGATTTCACCATGTTGATCAGGCTGGTCTCAAAACTCCTGACCTCAAATGATCCACTCACCTTGGCCTCCCAAAGTGCTGGGATGGCAGGCGTGAGCCACTGCGCCTGGCCTGTGATGGATTTAATTGTAGTTGTATTAAGCTGAAATAGCCACAGGTGGCTAGCTGGATGGGGAAGCGCCCCTTTCTCTTTTTTTTTTTTTTGAGACGGAGTCTCGCTCTGTGGCCCTGGCTGGAGTGAGTGGCGCGATCCCGGCTCACTGCAAGCTCCGCCTCCCAGGTTCACGCCATTCTCCTGCCTCAGCCTCCCAAGTAGCTGGGACTACAGGCGCCCGCCACCTCGCCCGGCTAGTTTTTTTGTATTTTTCAGTAGAGACGGGGTTTCACCGTGTTAGCCAGGATGGTCTCGATCTCCTGACCTCGTGATCCGCCCGTCTCGGCCTCCCAAAGTGCTGGGATTACAGGCTTGAGCCACCGCGCCCGGCCCCCTTTCTCTTAAGAAGAGAACTGCTAATGTGACATTTCGGGGCGTGGTTAGTGGGCAGGCACTTGCCTTATATGTTTGATGTCGGAAAGATGCCAGTGAAAATCACAAGATGTCCCTTGACAGTGACAAATGTCAGGAGGCTGGCTCATGCCACCGGCTGGCAGCAATGGGAGGGAGGGGGCCCCGGGGCCATTTGGCAACAGAATTGTGACTATGACTGACCCAGCTGCCTTGTGCCCGGGTCTTTTCCTCTGGCAGGGTCTCCCTGGGTCCCTGTGTCCCAAGGCTGCTGACGGGGAGCTTGGGGGCCACCTGAAGAACCCTCCCTGGGGATTGGGGAGTGAGTTAGGAGGAGTCGGGGGTTGGGGGCATCTGTGGAGCACCAGTGGAGGCCCCTGCGTTGGCATCCCTGGAGCGTGTGTCAGAGATGTGTGCACATGTGGGTGAAACACAAGGAATCTATAACTGGAACCACTTACTATAAATTAAAAAGATGTTTTAGGCCAGGCGCAGTGGCTCACGCCTGTCATCCCAGCACTTTGGGAGGCCAGGGCAGGCGGATCACATGAGGTCAGGGAGTTCAAGACCAGTGTGGCCAACATGGTGAAACCCCATCTCTACTAAAAATACAAGAATTAGCTGGGCATGATGGTGCATGCTTCTAATTCCAGCTACTCAGGAGGCTGAGGCAGGAGAATTGCTTGAACCCAGGAGGGGGAGGTTGCGGTGAGCCAAGATGGTGCCAATGTACTCCAGCCTGGGAGACAGCAAGACTCCATCTCCAAAAAAAAAAGACGTTTTAATTTTACAAGAACTCAGATACAAAGACATCCATTAAATCCCCATGGAAGTGGTTGTCCCTGGGGGCAGTCGGGGAATGGGCAGGATTAAATGTATATAACTCAGCCCACAAATAAGCCAGGGGCCAGGGCACTCTGTCCCCAGACATATCTGGGGACTCCTGTCCTCACCCCGCCAATCTATACCAGGAAGGGTGAGGCACTGTCCTTTGCTGAGGCTCGGCCACTCGGTTATTGGCCATGAACCCCCCAACTTGTGAGGGTTGATGCAGTTCTGCCCTTTCGGCTGTGGGTCCTGTTAGGAACAAGCACAGCAGACAATCAGCTCTGCGCCGGCCCAGGGAAAGGGCGTGGTCATCAGTGGGAGGTGCTGACACAGAGGGGTGCTTTCTTCCTTGGCCATTGTCACCTGTTCCCCGCCCTGTCGTGGAAGGGCTGTCACGGTGGTGGAGGGGAGCCCGGACTCGATTTATCTCAGATATGACCTTGGGCAAGTTCATCTCTGAGCTGCATTTTGGGGGATGCGGCCCTTCTCTGGGGGTTACTTGTAGGAGGCTCAGAGGAAACCTGGGATGGGGCCCAACCACAGGGCTGCTCAGTGAATATGTTGGGGTTCTCCATGTGTTGCCCACATTCCTTGGAGTCATCTCTAGGCAGGCAGAGACAGAGGCCCCGATTCGATGAAGTGTGCCTGCAGCAGTCTGGCTTGTGTCGGGAAGGACCCAGGAGGGCCTTGCCTTAGGACTTCCATATCAGAGAAATGGCAGTGAAAATCACAAGATGTCCCTCGACAGAGTGGCAGATGTTAGGAGGCTGGATGCTACTGTAGTGAACGCTCTACACTGTAGAGTGTCGGCTCCGAGTTCACTCCTGTGTCCTCAGTGTGGGGCACTCAGTAGACAGCTTAAGAAAGGGGTTTGAATGAACATCTGCACGCATGTGTGCGTGGTGTGCATGCGCGGAAAGGTCTTTCCCCTTCTGGGTGTTTCAGACTGATCTCAGCATAGCCAAGTCTAGAAGTGTCTCCTCAAGGTGGGTTTCTGAAAACCCCTGAGGACCCTGAGCGAGGCTGGGAGCACCCTAGACTGACACTTCTCCACACCCATCTCTTCTTCCAGGTGACAGGAGTTTCTGCCAAATCCTGTATGACCACAGCACCTGCCCCCCGGCGCCTGCCAGCCCCCCTGAGCCCCAGAGCCCAGAGCTGCCCCCTGCCCTCCCCAGCTTCTGCCCTGAGGCGGCCCCAGCCCGTTCCTCTGGGTCTCCTGAGCCCTCGCCCGCCATTGCCAAAGCCAAGGAGTTTGTGGCTGACATCTTCCGCCGGGCCAAAGAGGCCAAGGGCGGGGCCCCTGAGGAAGCCCGGCCTGCCCTGTGCCCAGGACCCTCTGGCAGCCGCTGCCGTGCGCACTCTGAGCCCTTAGCCCTGTGTGGGGAGGCAGCACCCCGGGACAGCCCCCCTGCCTCGGAGGCGCCTGCCCCCGAGCCTGGCTACATCAACTACACCAAGCTGTACTATGTGCTGGAGTCCGGAGAGGGGACGGAGCCGGAGGATGGTGAGCGGGGGGCAGGCATGTGGTAGGGCCTGGGATGGGGAAGCCAACCCAGATGGGGCCCCTGTCCTCCCTCCACCCCATCCCCACTTCCTGCCTCCCCAGAGTTCGAGGACGACAAGATCTCCCTGCCCTTCGTGGTGACTGATCTTCGTGGCCGCAACTTGCGGCCCATGCGGGAGCGGACTGCTGTCCAGGTGGGTGCGGGCGTGGGCGGGCCGAGGGCAGTCCTGGGAAGCTGCTGGGGGGCAGTTGGCACCGTCCTCTGTGCCTGCCCACTCGCCCGCAGGGCCAGTACCTGACAGTGGAGCAGCTCACACTGGACTTCGAATATGTCATCAATGAGGTCATCCGCCACGACGCTACCTGGGGCCATCAGTTCTGTTCTTTCAGCGACTATGACATCGTCATTCTAGAGGTGGGCCCAGGGTGGGCAAGGTGGGCCCAGGGCTCCCTGTACTCTGGAGTCGCCCTCAGCAGCTGGCATCATCCACCCCCAACCCCAGGTCTGCCCGGAAACCAACCAGGTCCTCATCAACATTGGCCTGCTGCTCCTGGCCTTCCCGTCCCCCACTGAGGAGGGTCAGCTCCGGTGAGCACGGGGACCCTGTCCTCCCTGTCCACTAGGGGGGCCGCTGGCAGACACTTCAGGGTGGGGGCGTGGGGATATGAGAAGGTGCTCCCTGTGCCACAACCTGGCTGGGCCCCTCCGTAGCTTCTCCAAAGACAAAAGCCCCTCAGGGTAGTGTAGGGCCTGGTTCAGGAGCCCGGCTGTCCCAGCGCTTGTCCTGTGGCCCTCTCCACTGCAGACCAAAGACCTATCACACCAGCCTCAAGGTGGCATGGGACCTCAACACAGGCATCTTCGAGACAGTCAGTGTAGGCGACCTGACTGAGGTCAAAGGGCAGACCAGGTGAGGCAGGGCTGGGGGGCAGGGTCGGGGGCGGCTGAGGCGATGAGAGCCACTCACCCCCTGGCCCCACAGCGGCAGTGTCTGGAGCTCCTACCGCAAGAGCTGCGTGGACATGGTCATGAAGTGGCTGGTGCCCGAGAGCAGTGGCCGCTACGTCAACAGGATGACCAACGAGGCGCTCCACAAAGGTGGGGGTCGGTGACCCCGTGATGGTCAGGGTCCCCAGGGTCACTTGTCCTCACCCAGGCGCTGATTCCTGAGCGCTGATGAAATGGGTGGGAAGGCTGGTAAGGAGAGGGCCGCCCAGGCCAGGCCCAGCTTGGCAGCCCTGAAGGTGTGGGGCCTGGGAGCCTCCCGCCAGACTGGCCCGTCACTCGTTCACACTACAGACGTTTATTGAGTAGCTGCAGGCGAGAGGCGGAGGGCAACTCAGCAGGGTTCTTGCCTTCTGGAACCTTCTGGGCCAGAAGGAAGTCAGGTGGGGAGTGTGGCCACAGTGCTGGGCAGGCAGGGGCTCCATGCTTTGTCCCCACCTGTCCCTGTAGGGTGCTCCCTGAAGGTTCTGGCAGACAGCGAGCGATACACGTGGATCGTGCTGTGAGGGCCGGGCCGCCCCGGACACTGACTCCAACTACCTCCGCGGCCTGGGACCGGCCGCCTCCCCGGGGTGGCCTCTTCCTGGCCGGCTGGCCCACCGACTGATGACCGGCACTAGTGTTAGGCTGCGGAACCGGGCTGGGCAGGGCAGCCCCTGGTGGCCCGAGGGTCTGGACGCTTTTTATTTATGCCTATTTAAGTTGGGAAGGGGCAGAGAGAGGGCGCCCCCTGCCCCACCAGCCTGAGCGCCCTGCCTTCACTCCGAGCTGGGCATGGGCCTGGTCCCTTGTGCATTTGCCCCTTTCTTCGGCTACGGCTGTGGACGTTGCCCTCGGGGAGGTCGAATGGACCCTGTTCCCCCTGCCCTGCCCGCCCCCAGCCTCCCCACCCAGGCTGGCAACCTCCTGGCCATCCCCACTCGGTTCTTCTTCATGTAATAAATGTTTTAATTTCTGAACCTCATTGAGGTCCCGTTACTGCAGCTCGGGGCCCAGCTGGAGCCCCCGCCCCAAAGCCCCCACCAAGGCCCGGCGAGTCAGCAGTAGGCAAATATCACAGCGGAATTTATTGTTTTAAGAAAGACTACAAAAAGGTAGAAAACAGCTCGGCACACTAGACTACCACACGTGTGGACACTTTCACCGCCGGGAGAGGGAGCCCCGTGGGCACGGGGACTGGGCAGGCCGCCCCAAAAGCTGTAGCACGCGGAGCACACAAAATAGTGATTTTTATACAATAGGTCAGATTTCCATTTTTTTTTTTTCTTTTTCTTGCCATAAACATCTATCTCACAGGCTGAAAACACTGAGAAAACTGGAACAGATAAGGCCATGATGGTTGGAAAAAAACCCAACAAGTTACCAGCTCCGCTCGGGCGGCGCTCACGAATCGCACAATAGTCATGGGGTGGGGGTCGCACGGCACGGAGGAGAAGCAGAGTCTCCGGGAAGAGAGGGGCACAAAAAAGGTTCCATTACAAACCAGCGGCGGAGGGGGGCGCGGGGGCTGGGGTCTGTGGGCACTCCCCGGCCCCGCGGCCCGCTGCTCTTTGGAAGCTGGAGGCCGTGCCCCCTGCCGCCCTCCCCACAGCCGGGCCGGGCAGTGCCCCCTTCTCGGGCTTGGGGGCAAGGGAGGGCCCAGCGGAGAAGATGCGACACCCACGGCTTTAATTGCACTTAATACCAAGAAGGGGAAGCAGTGGGGTTGCTGGGGGTAGGGGGTCCCGGGGCTGCTGCTGACAGTGGGGAGTCCCCAGGTGACGCCCACCTGCGCCGGCACAGGGCTCAGGGCTGGGCCCAGGACAGGCTGTGCAAAGCCAGCGAGCTGAATAAGTTAACAGTTCCGCACGGGAGGGGGCCTGCCTGCCTGCCCCCTGGGGTGGTGGGAGGACGGGGCTGGGGTGAAGATGCTGCGGCCTGGGAGGGGGGCGGCCAAGGGGCCGAGCTGGATGCCCCACAGGGCACCTGGGCACGCGGCGGGTTCCTTAAGGCACGTCTTTTGTGTCAGAGTTTGCAGCTGCGGCTCCGCCCAGCCCACTGATTGTGCCGGCCCCATAGGGTAGGAGGGCCCCGGCCTTCCCTGTCTCGGAGGCCCCCTCCCTGCCCTCCCTGGCTGAGGCTGGAGCGGTGACCACGAAGCCACAGAAGCTGTGAGGGACCCTGGCGTGAAGGGGTGGCAGGGGCGGGCGGGGCGGGGAGGCCAAGGGCTTAGCTGGAGGGTAGTGCCTGCACGAAGAGGCCGCGCGCGTCAGTCCGCGCCAGCTTGGCCGGCGGCTCCAGGGTCTCTGGGCCCAGCGCGGGTGACTCGCCGCCAGCCGCCAGTGAGATGTCCTGCGGCAGCTCGTCCTCGCTCTCCTCCTCCTCTTCCTCCTCCTCGTCTGGGACACAGGGGCCAAGTGAGGCTTGGGGCGGGGTGGCAACGCCCCTGGGTTCCTCCTCCTCCCCAGCCCCTCTGTTGTCCGCCACCCCCGCGGACCCGCGCCCTGGGTGGGAACACGCCTCGCCTACCTTTGTCGGGGTCCAGGGGGTTCAGGGAGGTGGCCAGATTGGCGAACTGGAGGAAGGAGAAGAAAATGGGTGAGGGTCCGCCGCCTGGCGCCCCGCCCGCGCCCCCAGTGGCCCGCTGCGCGCACCTCGCCCATGACGGCGATGGGGGTCTCGCCCTTGGCCTGGGCTACGCGGTGCTCGATCAGGTAGTACATGTATTCGTCGTAGAGCAGCCGGATGAGGTGGAAGGAGCCGAAGCTGGCGGCGCTGCGCAGGGTCAGGTCCCGGATCACCATGGAGCTGGGTATGGCGACGGAGAGGAGACCGTCAGGCCCCGTCCGGCCCAACCCCTCGACCCCTCCCCGCTGCGATGTGCCCGGGCCTCGCGCCAGCCCAGCGACTCAGGCTGGATCCCAACACAGCCTTCCCCCAGGCGTGCATGGTACAGAGCCCAGGGCCCCAGCCCGCCCGCCCAGCCTGCAGGCTCGGGTCGTCGTAGAAGAGCAACTGAGCCCCACAGGGGCCCAGGGCCTTCCCTGGTGCAGCCCGGGCCCGATCCCGCCGCGCGCGCACCTGTAGAAGGACCACTTGAGAAGGAAGAGCTTGGCGGCCTTGGGGAAGCCGGCGCTGCCCTGGTAGGGCTTGAGCACCTGGCTCACCACGCCGTCCAGCCAGGCCGCCCACTGCTCCAGCGAATTCTGCTGCTGCAACGTCACCTTGAAGTCCTGCTCCAGCCGCTGCACCACGCGGTCCTCGCAACGGCACACCCACGAGGCCTGCTCCTGGGGCACACCGGGTGGGCGGGCGCCCGGGGCTCAGCCGCCGTCACCCCAGCCTGGCCCGCCCCTCTGGGCTGCCCCTCATTCGCCCGCCCCGCCCCGCACTCACCTGCACGTTGGCGAAGTCCACGCGGTTGAGGTCGCTCAGCATCTGGTTGATCTGCGCGGTGTTCTGCAGCACAGCGCGCGCCGCCTGCGCCAGGTGGTTGAGCGACGTGTAGCGCCGCAGTGTCTGCGCGAAGGCGCCGGCCGCGGCCACCTGCGTGCAGGGATTGGGGGGCTTGCTGCTTCCGAGGAACCCCAGCCCGCCAGCCCTGGCCCCACCCCGAGGCAACCTCCCTCAGCCTGTTTCCTTTTTCCTAAAAAAGGAGGGATGTGCTTTGCTACTTTTGTTGGGATACAGAAGGATCGCGACCTTCAAACTTTGGGTGTCCACTCACAAGCGCCCCCCAAAATTCAATTAATTGTATTCTGACCAGGGCACAGTATTTTTTAAAATGTATTTTTATTTTTTAAAATAACAGTCGAGACAGGGTCTCGCCAGGTCGCCCAGACTAGTCTCAAACTTCTGGCTTCAAGAGATCCTCCTGCCTTTGCCTCCCGAAGTGTTGGAAGTGAGCCACCGTGCCACGAAAGGCCTTTTTTTTTTTTTTTAAACGAAAGAACACAATAGAAAATATGGAGGGCACTGCGCAGAAAGGGCAAATACTGCTTTGATAAACATGTTTCATTTTCTTTCTTTCTTTCTTTCTTTTGACACTGAATCTCACTCTATAGCCCAGCGTGGAGTGCAGGGGCGTGATCTCGACTCACTGCAACCTCCGCCTCCTGGGGTCAAGCGATTCTCGTGCCTCAACCTCCTGAGTAGCTGTGATCATAGGCGCACACCACCACGCCAGGCTAATTTTTATATTTTTTGTAGTTTAGCTAAATTTTGTATCTTTAAATATTTTTGTATTTAGAAACAGGGTTTCACCATGTTGGCCAGGCTAGTCTGGAACTCCTGACCTCAAGTGATCCGCCCGCCTCGGCCTCCCAAAGTGCTGGGATTACAGGCATGAGCCACCGCGCCCGGCCTCATTTTCTTTCATACCCTGGAATCCCAGCTCTGGGAGATTTTGTCCATCTTGTTCATTGCTGTGTACTGAGAAGGAGGTTGTGTGAATACATGAATACGTGAGTCTTGCTGGTTCTGAAGGGTTGCTCCTGGATCTGACATCTACTGTCTCCACAGGCCCCAGTCCCTGCCCTGTGCCCAGCGGTGGGTTTTTTTTCCCCCAACCACATCCCATCAAATTCCTCACATCTAAGTAGTTAGCAAATGTCCATCTTTTGATGAAAAAGGCAAGTATTATGTTTCCTTATAGATGTTGTTGCCTTTCTTAAAAAGTTTTATCTGTCTCTACACACCTGAAGCACTTTTTTTTTTTTTTTTTTTTTGACAGAGTCTGGCTCTGTCGCCCAGGCTGGAGTGCAGTGGTGCGATCTTGGCCTCCCGGGTTCATGCCATTCTGTTGCCTCAGCCTCCCCAGCAGCTCTGACTACAGGCGCATGCCGCCACACCCGGCTAATTTTTTTTTTTGGTATTTTTAGTAGAGACGGGGTTTCACTGTGTTAGCCAGGATGGTCTCGATATTCTGACCTCGTGATCCGCCCGCCTCAACCTCCCAAAGTGCTGGGATTACAGGCTTGAGCCACCGTGCCCGGCCACACATGAAGCACTTTCTAGCAAGGCTGTCTAAAGGGAACTACTATACGTTTGCAGTTGGTTTTTATTTTTGAAAGATGCTGTGTTGAGTACAGTAACACCACAAAGGGGTTGCATTTCAGCAGTGGGTGCCTGAGGACACTGGTTTATAAAGACAATGCCCAGGGTGCTCCCCGAGGCGGAGAAGGTCTCCCCTTCCCTCACAGGCATCATCCCTGGAACAGGTGTGGGGACAAATCTTACCGCCCCTGGGGAGCAGAGGAGACGGGGGGCCTAAGCCCCAGGGACAAGAGAAAGGGACCCCCCGCACCCTCACCTTCACCCGCAGCATCTCCTCGGGGATATTGACCATGGCGTGGGTGAGCCAGCTCTCCAGGCTCTTGGCAAAGTTCCGGATCGCTTGGGTCAAGGCACCTGTGGGCGGTGGCGGGGGCCGGTCAGGGCAGGGTGGGGGTATGTGGGGCAGGGGGTGCCGAGCAGGCCAAGCACTCACTGGGGATGGGCCGCAGCACGTCAGGGATGAGGATTTCCACCAGGCCCTGGTACAGCACGTTGTCACAGTGCTTGGTCCATTGGAGCACGGGCTCGAATTTGGAGAGCAGCACCAGGATGGCTTTGGGCAGTCGCTTCTCGGCCTCATCATGCCTGTGGGCACCCACCCCACCCCGGGTCACTGGGGCACTCTATGGTCCTGCCCCCATTGTCAGAAGGGAACAGGTACCCCCTGTCCCTGACTCAGGGTCACTGGGGCACTCTGTGGTTCTCCCCCAGTGTCAGAAGACACAGGTACCCCCTTACTCCCACCCAGGGTCACTGGGGCACTCTGTGGCCCTGCCCCCAGCATCAGACCCCCACCCCCAGCCCAGGGTCAGGTAAGTACCCCCTGCCTCCCGAGGATCCCCGGGGTCCGGCTGGCACAGGCCCGGGGCGGGTGGGACGGGATCCTACACCCTACCCTGCATACAGGGGGCAAACAAATTCCAGAACCTGCCACTCCAGGGAGGAGGTGGTGCCCTGGCCCATGCCTGGGCTTGGTCAGGCACGCCACCCCCGACTCTGAGTGTCAGGTGGCTATACACACACACTTCACACAGCCAAGGGCATGTGTACCCCATAAACTGCAGGGGACAAGCAGGTGCCCCAACCCTGGGTGTCAGAATCACCTGAGGTCCCACCCTCCTCCCCGCTTGCCGGGCAGTACTCACACGGCCAGCGGCGGCGCCTCGCTGGGCTGGCTGAGGTTGTACCTCCAGAAGGTCTTCCACAGCGTCTCCACCAGGGTGAACTGCAGGTTCACCATGACGTCGACAATGGCCTGTGGCAGAGGCAGATGCTCAGGGAGGCTGGGGGGCAGCATGACCTTCCCATGCCCATGGCTGCGTCCCCATTCGCTTGCCTGCCCAGCTGGCTGCCCTACCTCACAGTGTTCCCGGTACAGGACCTGGAAGGCTTTGATGTCACCAGGCCCGACGCCCTCAGGCAGCACCTTGCCCTGGAGGTCGAGCTCTGTGAAGTCAGGGAGGCTCCGAGAGGCATCTGCGGGGCCGGGGGGAACCATGAGGCCCTTCATCCCCTGTGCCTGCCCACCCTGGGGTCCCAGAGTTGTCCCTTTCCCATCAGACTGGGGTCCCCCAAGTGCTGGTGAGAGACAAGGCTCGGTGGGGGCGAGCGCCTGGCCTGGGCCCAGGATGGGGAGGACTTGAGGGCGCACACTCCTCTGGCAGAGAGGACAGGAGGGTCTTGTGCCAGCCCTGCCTGTCTGCTGAGTGGCAGCACCGCACCAGCCCTCAGGACGTGGGTCTCAGTCCCGGCTGCAACACAGCACCCACCTGGCAAGGGAATGGGTAGGCCCCCAGGGCACAGTCAGGACCACAGGACGCTGCCCTGAGCCTGAGCACCCCAGGTTGGGGCTAGCCATGGACAGTCGCCCTGGGGATGCCCCTCGACTCCGCCAGAAGTATTGTTCCCCACCCTCCTCTATGTCCCCAGGCACGGACGGGACAAATGGGATGTCCTGGCCTCCACAGCAGGTGAGGAAATGAGCGCCCACGTGCTCAGGATCGAGGATGTGTGGCTGGACTATGGGTTCCAAGGGTTTGCTTGTTTACTTAGCATCCTTTGGCCCTGTTTTCATGGATTGTTGTTTACTTTGTCTTTTTTTTTTTTTTTTTTTTTTAAGAGATGGGGTCCTGCTATGTTGCCCAGGCTGGTCTCCAACTCCTGGACTCAAGCAATTCCTCCCACCTCGGCCTCCCAAAGTACTGGGGTTATATACGTGAGCCACCGCATCCGGCCTGTTTTATTTTCCTGAGACAGAGTCTCACTCACTCCAGGCTGGAGTACAATGGTGCAATCTTGGCTCATTGCAACCTCCACCTTCCGGGTTCAAGCAATTCTGCTTCAGCCTCCTGAGTAGTTGGGATTATAGGCACCTGCCACCACGCTGGGCTACTTTTGGTATTTTTAGTAGAGATGAGGATTCACCATGTTGACTAGGCAGGTCTCAAACTCTTGACCTCAAGCGTTTCCTCTAGCCTCAGCCTCCCAAAGTGCTGGGATTACAGACATAAACCACTGCACCTGGCCTTTTTTTAAAGTTTACTTTTAGAAACACTGGGTACATGCCTGCCTTCTTGGCGAGTGAGTGGTCCTAGCCCTGTGGACACCATGGCTGTGGGATGGCTGGACAGGAAAGCAAGTGGGCCTCACAGGACTCACGAGGTAAGAGGACCTGCCGTCATATCTCCAACAAGTAACCATGTCCAACTGGGTGGGATCTGAAATCTCATGTAGGCTGGGCATGGTGGCTCATGCCAGTAATCCCAGAACTTTGGGAGGCCACGGTGGGAGGATCACTTCAGGTCAGGAGTTCAAGACCAGCCTGGCCAATAGGGTGAAACCCCATCTTTACTAAAAATACTAAAATTAGCCAGGCATAGTGGCTCATGCCTGTAGTTCCAGCTACTCAGGAGGCTGAGGCAGGAGAATCACTTGAACCCAGAAGGCGGGGGTGGCAGTGAGCCAGGATGGTGTCACTGCACTCCAGCCTGGGCGACAGAGAATGTCTCAAAAAAATCAATAAACAAACACAAAAATAAAGAAAATCTCATGTAGCATAAAGGGGATTCACTGGGGAGCTCAGAACCCCAGAGAAATACTTTGCATTGAAAGAAATGAGAGTCGCCGGGCGCGGTGGCTCAAGCCTATAATCCCAGCACTTTGGGAGGCCGAGACGGGCGGATCACGAGGTCAGGAGATGGAGACCATCCTGGCTAACACAGTGAAACCCCATCTCTACTAAAAAATACAAAAAAACTAGCCGGGCGAAGTGGCGGGCGCCTGTAGTCCCAGCTACTCGGGAGGCTGAGGCAGGAGAATGGCGTGAACCCGGGAGGCGGAGCTTGCAGTGAGCTGAGATCACGCCACTGTACTTCAGCCTGAGCGACAGAGCGAGACTCCGGCTCAAAAAAAAAAAAAAAAAAAAGAGAATCTACCTTGAAGAAGGATTCTGGGGACAGAACTGTCACTGTGGACGGAGACTGTGATGTCTCCCCCACCCCCTGCTGGTCCTCAAGCGTCTCCACCAAGCCCTCCCCGGCTCAGAGGCTGCCTGCCGCCATTTGGCTTTGGGAACCATCTGTACGGGGCCGGGGGGCGGTGGCTGGGGAAGCACAGGCCAGGGAGCTCTCACCCAGAAACTGCTGGTACTGCTGCACCTGGGCACTGATGTCCGACAGCCCCGTGCTCGGCTGCTGCCCCACCGCCACGCCGTTGGTCATGCCTTCCATCTTCTGGATGGGCTTGAGCCTGGAGTAGAATGGGCAGGCGGGCTGGCTGCTGGGGGCCGGCCTGTATGCCCTTCCCGGCCTGCCCTGCCCCGGGCCCGGTCCTGCTCTCCTACCTCTGCTTCTGCGAGAAGGGCTGGCCCCGCATGGCCATGTGCTGCTGGTCCTCCATCAGTCGCAACAGGGGTGAGCTGGCCTTGATGCGCAGGCCGTAGTAGTGGTACTTGGAGTTGCCCCTGGGAGGGAGGTGGAGGGGAAGGGCTGGGCTGGGGGTCTGCCGGCTGGCCGGCCATGGAGCGCCTCACAGCACACCCATCTCCTCTCTATTAGGGGAACAGATGGAGAGACGCCTGCCCTGCAGAGCCGGGGGTGCTGCACTGAGGAGGCACGGGGGCTGTAGGTGTTGGGAAAGATCCAGTACTTTGCCCAAGAGGATTATACATAAATGAATGGCTGAATGGCTGAATGAGGTGATGCTGAAGCTGGGAATGGGAACCGAGACATGAGCTGGGGTGAGCCACGGGGGTTGCAAAGGAGAGGAAGAGAGGGGTGGGTTTCTGGGATGGCTTCTTGTTCCTTCCCACATGAATTCACTGACTCACAGGCCCTGATGAAGCACTGACTAGGTGCAACCCCGCATCATCAAGGTACAAGCATTGCAGATGGACCAGAACAACTGAAGTAAGTCACGTAAAAGGCACGTGTGGGCTGGGCATGGTGGCTCATGCCTATAATCCTAGCACTTTGGGAGGCCAAGATCACTTGAGGACAGGAGTTCAAGACCAGCCTGGCCAACATAGCAAAACTCTGTCTCTACTAAAAATATTTTTTAAAAATTAGCTGGGCATGGTGGCGCATGCTTGTAATCCCAAACTACTCAAGAGGCTGAGGCATGAGAATGGCTTGAACCTGTGAGGCAGAGGTTGCAGTGAGCCGAGATTGAGCCACTGCACTCCAGCCTGGGCCACAGAGTGAGACTCTGTCTCCAAAAGAAAAAAAAAAAAAAAAGCACGTGTGAGGGTGCTCAATGCTAAAGAGAAAAATAAAGCAGGGTTTGGGGTGTCGGGCGGAGAAGAGGGAGGAGGCTGCGGTTTTAGTTGAGGCAGTCAGGGGACATGTGAGTAAGAGGGGGTGAGAAGCACATGAGGTGGAAGGCACCGCCAGCGCAAAGGCCTGGGGTGGGAGTGAGCCTCGTGGAGGCCGGCGGGGCTGGGCTGGACTGGACTGCCCGAGATGACTTGGAGTTGGGGGTGGGCCTTGGCGTGCCTGCCAATTCCCCAGGGGCTGCTGGGCGTAGATGGACGGCTCTACCTGGTGCCCAGACGGCGGGTTCGCAGGCCCATGAAGACAGAGCGGATGAGCTTGCCGAAGGAGGCGGCGTTGACGGGCTCCAGCTTCTGCTCCTGGCAGTGCAGCAGGTAGTGGCAGTAGAGGGTACTCCGTGGCAGACTCACGCCCTCAGCCGTCTCATAGTTGTCCAGGAGCCACTGGACCTGGGGCCGGAGGCAGATGGGAGAGCACCAGTCAGAGGCGTTTCCGTCACCTCTGAGTGCTGGGGCTGAGTGCCCATATCGACTTCCAGCTGGAATCCTGACAGCTACGCCCACCATAAGTTAGCACATCCTACTGCCATCCTCCCCAGGAACTACGCCCCACAGAACTCTCTAGAACTGCACTGTCCAATACAGTTGCCATGTGCAGCTAAATACATTAAGGGCTGGACACGGCTCACCCCTTTAGTTCTAGCACTTTAGGGGGCTAAGGTGGGAGGATCACTTGAGCCCAGCCTGGGCAACATAGGGAGACCCTGTCTCTACCAACGAATTTTTTAAAAAATTAGCTAGTGTTGGCCAGGAGCAGTGGCTCAAGCCTGTAATCCCAGCACTTTGGGAAGCCAAGATGGGTAGATCACGAGGTCAGGAGATCGAGACCATCCTGGCTAACATGGTGAAACCCCATCTCTACTAAAAAATATAAAAAACTAGCTGGGCGAGGTGGCGGGCGCCTGTAGTCCCAGCTACTTGGGAGGCTGAGGCAGGAGAATGGCGTAAACCCGGGAGGCGGAGCTTGCAGTGAGCGAGATCCGGCCACTGCACTCCAGCCTGGGCGACAGAGTGAGACTCCATTTAAAAAAAAAAAAAAAAAAAATTAGCTAGTGTTGTGGTGCACGCCTGCAGTCCCAGGTACTTGGGAGGCTGAGGCAAGAGGATCCCTTCAGCTCAGAAATTCAAGGCTGCAGTCAGCTGTGGTCGAGCCCGTGTACTCCAGCCTGGATAGCAGTGAGACCTTGTCTCAAAAAAAAAAAAAAAAACTGTATTAATTTATGTAGAGTGAAAAATATCAAATTTCCAAGCCAGGAGTGGTGGCTCACACCTGTAATTCCAGCACTTTGGGAGGCCGAGGCGGGCGGATCACCTGAGGTCAGAAGTTAGAGACCAGCCTGGCCAACATGGTGAAACCCTGTCTCTACTAAAAATACAAAAATTAGCCAGGTGTGGTGGTGGGCACCTGTCATTCCAGCTACTCAAGAGGCTGAGGCACAAAAATTGCTTGAACTTGGGAGGTGGGAAGGTTATAGTGAACTGAGATTGCGCCACTGCACTCCAATCTGTGTGACGAGAGCAAAACTCCATCTTCAAAAAAGAAAAAAAAAGACTAGACTAGAAGCCAGGCTACATCATGACCATGAGGGACCACCAGGACCACCCGCGCTGACCCACCCCACAGTCACACAATTGTTGAAGGGCCTGGTTGGGGTTGGAATCCAGGGCTGCCCCACGGACTTCACACAGCCTCTTCTAGGCACAGGGAGGTTCCAGCACCAGCCTTCCCAATGGTGGAAGAACCCTGTTCAGGAAGCTCCCCACGGCAGTGCTGGCTTCTCTCTGCCCTCATTATCTATTCTCTATCATCAATTTTAATCAGAATAGATGGCTGGGAGGATCGCCTGAGGCCAGGATTTCGAGACCAGCCTAGGCAACAGAGTGAGATCCTGTCTCTACAAAAAAAAATTTTAAAAATCGGCCAGGCGTGGTGGCTCACGTCTATAATCCCAGCACTTTGGGAGGCCAAGGAGGGTGGATCATGAGGTCAGGAGATCGAGAACATCCTGGCCAACATGGTGAAACCCCGTCCCTACTAAAAATACAAAAATTAGCTGAGCAGAGTGGCGCGCCTGTAGTCCTAGCTACTTGGGAGGCTGGGGGAGGAGAATCGCTTGAACCCGGGAGGCGGAGGTTGCAGTGAGCTGAGATTGCGCCATCGCACTTCAGCCTGGCAACAGAGCGAGACTCCGTCTTAAACAAAAAAATTAGCCAGACACGGTGGTGCACGCCTGTAGTCCCAGCTACTTGCGAGGATCACTTGAGCCTGGGAGTTTGAGGCTGCAGTGAGCTACGATTACACCACTGTGCTTCAGCCTGGACGACAGAGCAAAACCCTGTCTCAAAAAAAAAAAAAATAGACAGCACCTTTTTTTTTTTTTTGGAAACAGAATCTCGCTGTCTCCCAGGCTTGAATGCAGTGGCGCAGTCTCTGCTCACTGCAACCTCCACCTCTCAAGTTCAAGCAATTCTCGTGCCTCACCCTTCCGAGTAGCTGGGATTACAGGTGCATACTACCATGCCTGGCTAATTTTTGTATTTTTAGTAGAGATGGAGTTTCACCATATCGGTTGGGCTAGTTTTGGAACTCCTGACCTCAGGTGATCCACCCACTTCAGTCTCCCAAAGTCCTGGGATTACAGGTGTGAGCCACAGCGCCCAACCAACAATAGACACTTCTGTAGTATTAAGAAGTTCATGCCTATCAACTGAGGCCCAGAGAGGCTGAGTAATTTATCTGAGGTCACACAGCATTCAATCCCAGGACATCTGCATATGTGCTCTTCATTGGGGGCCACACAGGCTCCTGCTAACGGTGGTTGGTAACCACTGTCATGGACTGGGCTTCTAGTGCCCACCACCCACCACCGCCTGCCTCCTCTGGGGCCCGGGTTGGGGCACTTACCGTGGCTGGCGAGGCACGGGTGGTGTGGGAGTAAGACTGGCTGGCACTGCCCAGCATGTAGCCACCTTGGATCACGTAGGTGCCTGCTCCGCTGCCGCCGCCTCCGGTGCTGCCACTGCCACCCCCGCCACCGCCTCCCCCGCCGCCGCCGCCACCACCACTGCCACCACCTCCGCTGCTGTTGCTGGCTCCAGCCCCAGTGCTGGTGGAGCTGGCGACGACCTGGCTGCCGGAGACGTACATGGGCATGGAGCCACTGTTGGCCACTGCCTGGGAGGTGGCAGGGGTGCTGACCTGGGCGGCCGTGCCCGCGGCCTCGTAGTAGCTGGTGCTTGCCGTCTGCGTGTACAGCGGCGTCTCGGGGTAGGGGTAGGTGCTGGAACGGCTAGGAAAGAGGTAAAGCCGGGGTAGAGTCAGGGGGATGAGAACTGGGGGGCCAAGGTGCATGACTAGGCAGGAAGGGGGGTACCAGGAGGGGACTGGGGAAGCAGCAGCCCCCCTGCAGCAAGGGGCAGATCCTAGCATTCACCTACAATGGACTGGGTACCATCCTGAGTGCCTGATGGGCAGTATTTTATATAATCATCAAAGCAGCCAGTCCTCTGGCATTGGAGTCACCTTCCCCACTTCGGAAATTGGGAAATCAAGATATAAGGGTAAGGGAACACAGCCTGGCATGGTGGCTCCTGCCTGTAATCACAGCACTTTGGAAAGCAGAGGCAGGAGGATCGTTGAAGGCCAGGAGTTCAAGACTAGCCTGGGCCACATAGTGAAAACCCATCTCTACAAAAAATATAAAGATTAGCCAGGCGTGGTGGTGCACACCTGCAATCCCAGCTACTTGGGAGGCTGAGGCAGGAGGATCCCTTGAGGCCAGGAGTTCAAGGCTATAGTGAGCTATAAGCATACTACCACTGCACCAAAGCCTGGGTGACAGTGAGACCCTGGCTTTTTATTTTTGTTATTTTATTTATTTATTTACTTATTGAGACAGAGTCTCTCTCTGTCACTGAGGCTAGAGTGCAGTGGCACAATCTTGGCTCACTGCAACCTCCGCCTCCTGGGTTCAAGTCATCCTCCCGCCTCGGCCTACCGAGGAACTGGGAATACAGGGGCACACCACCACGCCGGGTTAATTTTCGTATTTTTTTAGTAAATTTGGGGTTTCACCATGTTGCCCAGGCTGGTCTCGAACTCCTGACCTCAAGTGATAAGCCCGCCTCAGTCTCCCACAGTGCTAGAACTACAGGCATGAGCCACATGCCTGTAACCACACCTGGCTGACCCTGTCTTTTTAATTGGAAAAAAAAAAAAAATACTTAAGGGTTAGGGAACTTGCAATGCTACACACTTCATTAAAAAAAATAAAATTGGCAAGTGCTTTGAGCGCCTACTATGTGCTAGGCACTGTTTTGCACACTTTGGACACAGCAATGGACAAGAATGAAAAGCCCTGGCCCCTGGAGGAGCTGACGGTCTAGTTGGGGAGACAGGCAAGAAGCCATGTGCAAAGGTAAATGAGAGATCATAACAGAAGGTGATCAGCCAGTGAGTGAAGCAGGAAGGGGGTGGGGCTAAAGAAGGCGACGCTGTGATTGGAGGAGACCATCAGGAATGCAGATATGTTTCCCCTGAGCCAAGCTACCTATCCCAGGCTGGGAAATCCTCTCTCCTTCAGATATCCCGTGATGGGATGGGCACCGGTGACACAGGCTTGAGGCTGCAAATCGTCACCAGCATAAAAACCACCAGGGGTTCAACTTCAAGGGGCTGTTAAATAAAAAATGATGGAATCCTAGGCAGGGGTGAAAGAGAAGGAGGCAGGGCTCGTCATCCCCGGAAAGAACAAGCTCCAGAACCTACCAACGGGCAGATAAGAGGCAGAGAAGGGTGGGGACCGTGTGACCGAACAATAGGGAAGAATGTGTTGCATGTGGTATGTATGTCTGTCATCTGTGAGCGTGGAGGGCTCCATCGAGGGAGACAGGCGGGGGGCACCTCTCACCATCTCACTAAACATCACTGGACATAGTTTTGACCTTTGAACTCTTTCAAAGTACTAGTGATTAAAACATGGCATTAGGCCAGGTGCAGTGGCTCACACCTGTAATCCCAGCACTTTGGGAGGCCGAGGCGGGCGGATCACAAGGTCAGGAGATCGAGACCATGGTGAAACCCCGTCTCTACTAAAAATAGAAAAAATTAGCTGGGCGCGGTGGCGGGCGCCTGTAGTCCCAGCTACTCGGGAGGCTGAGGCAGGAGAATGGCGTGAACCCGGGAGGCGGAGCTTACAGTGAGCCGAGATTGCGCCACTGCACTCCAGCCTGGGCGACAGAGCGAGACTCCGTCTCAAAAAAAAAAAAAAAAAATTAGCCAGGCATAGTGGCAGGCGCCTGTAGTCCCAGCTACTCAGGAGGCTGAGGCAGGAGGACCACTTGAACCCAGGAGGCGGAGGGTGTAGTGAGCTGAGATCACACCACTGCATTTCAGCCTGGATGACAGAGTGAAACTCCACCTCAAAAAAAAAAAAGAAAGAAAAAGGGGGGTGGGTAGGCGCAGTGGCTCACACCTGTAATCCCAGCAGTTTGGGAGGCCAAGGCGGGTGGATCACCTGAGGTCAGGAGTTCGAGACCAGCCTAGCCAACATAATGAAATCCTGTCTTTACTAAAAGTACAAAAAAGCCAGGTGTGGTGGTGGGCGTCTGTAATCCCAGCTACTCAGGAGGCTGAGGCAGGAGAATCGCTTGAACCCTGAAGGCAGAGGTTGCAGTGAGCCAACATTGCACCATTGCACTCCAGCTGTGCAACAAGAGGGAAACTCCATCTCAAAAAAAAAAAAAAAAAAAAATTAAACATCCAAAAAGACAGCGTGGTCAGTCAAGTGGTGGCCTGACTCAAACTCTGAAGGTGGCAGGGGAGGGAGCCATGCAGGCCCGAGTGGTTGTGGGTGAACAAAGAGAGAGAGTTGACAGTGGAAGGAGATATGGAAGCATGGTCTTTGTCGGATACCAGGTCCAGCTCTCGATCTTTCTGTCCTGCCCTATGTCTACCACACAAAATGACACCAAGAGCACATGACCTGAGCAAGTGCCCCCACTTCTCCAAGGTGGGGGCCACAGCCTGCTCGCTCCTGGGCACCCAGCATGCAACGTGTGCTGCAAAAATGTTGCTTCAGTAGATGGTTGCTGAATGACTGAATAAATGAATGTGTGCGGCTCTGGATGCCCCCCAGAACAGGACTAGGGATGGAGGCCCAGAGGCTGTGGCTTTGGTCTGGGTGGGGATAGGGCTGGCAAAGGGTTGGGAACTCGCAGTAATTCACTCAGAAGGAGAGACAGAAGGAGTGGACAGTTGACAGCAGGAGTGGCCCCCAACAACTTCTCGTAGCAGAAAAATCCGATAACAACGATGAACTAGGTGCAATCACACACACTACGATCACTGAGTGAGGGATTCAGACAGGGCAAAGGAGAGACAGCAGAGACGCTACCGGGGATGGAGCAGGAACCCTCGGACACCAGGCTCCTCTTTGCAATGCCCTGTCTGGCCCCTGCCAGCTTGGCTCAACCACACAGTGAAAAGATTAGCAGCACTGGAAAGAAACGGATGGAACTGTGAGGTAGCCGGACGCCAGGGACCAAGCCTTACGATTCAGGTGCCTGGACCAGGCACCTTGGGGTCGGTCAGAGCATCATGACCCTAGGACTAAGTCAATCCATGAGCTAACCAATCCCAGCGTTGTCCCCAGAAGGACATGTGGCAGGGACGAAAAAAATCACGCAAATGCAAAGAAAACCAAGTGAAACCTCTAGAAACTAAACCAACAGTAACTCTAGTACTGCAGCAATTTCTGTGGAGATGGGAGAGGCGAGGTGGCATGGAGGACCCCCAGTGAGGAGCCAGAGCTGGGACTGAAGTGGGGCCAGGATGTGGCACCTGCCTGACATGGCTCATACACAGGAATGGTAGTGCTGCACCCAGGGAGGGGAAGAAGCCCCCTACGCATCACTGGGTGGGGACTGATGACATCATGGCTGCTGCATCTGTACAGGGGTTATTACACAGCAGCTAAGAGGGTGACCAGGATCCACGAGGACATGTGGGAGAAGAGCCAGGAAAGAAATAAGGTATGGATAGAATGTCCTGCCTCTATTTCTGACCAAAAAAAGGGGGTAGAGGCTGGGCACAGTGGCTCATGCCTATAATCCCACCACTTTGGGAGGCCAAGAGGGGAGGATCACTTGAGTCCAAGAGTTCGAGGAGATGAGCCTGGGCAACATGGCAAAACCCCATCTCTCCAAAAATAAAAACTTTAGCTGAGCATGGTCGTGCACACCTGTAGTCCCAGCTACTAGGGAGGCTGAGGTAAGAGGATTGCTTGAGCCCGTGAGCTGCAGTGAGCCCTGATCGTACCACTTCTCTCTGGCCTGGGCGACAGAGTGAGACCCTGTCTCAAAAAAAAGAGACCACTGTGGTGGCTCATGCCTGTAATCCCAGCACTTTGGGAGGTGAGGCGGGTGGATCACGAGGTCAGCAATTCAAGACCAGCCTGACCAACATGGTGAAACCCCACCTCTACTAACAATACAAAAATTAGCTGGGTGTGATGGTATGTGCCTGTAATCCCAGCTACTCGGGAGGCTGAGGCACGAGAATCGCTTGAACCCAGGAGGCGGAAGTTGCAGTGAGCCGAGATCATGCCACTGCACTCCAGCCTGGCGACAGAGTAAGACTCCATCTCAAAAAAAAAAAAAAAGAAAGAAAGAAAAAAAATGGGTAGAGGGCTAGAGTTTCTGTTCTTAGAGTATCTCTGGAAGGAAACAAAGAAACAGGTCACAGCATCCCCTATGGGACAGGGTTGAGAGTCAAATTACTTTTTTTTTGAGATGGAGTCTCGCTCTATCGCCCAGGCTGGAGTTGCAGTGGCACGATCTTAGGTCACTGCAACCTCTGCCTCCTGGGTTCAATCAATTCCTCTGCCTCAGCCTACTGAGTAGCTTGAATTACAGGTGCCTGCCACCACGCCTGGCTAACTTTTGTATTTTTAGTAGAGACAGGGTTTCACCATGTTGGCCAGGCTAGTCTTAAACTCCTGACCTCAAGTGATCCACCCACTTAGGCCTCCCAAAGTGTTGGGATTACAGACGCGAGCTACCGTGCCTGGCCATTTTTTTTTTTGTTAAAAACCAGGCTCATTTGACTCCCAAGCCCCAAGCTATGCCAGGGTGCCTTTTCCAACCTTCGAGGGTCCCTCTGCTTCGCCACCTTCCGTGACTGTGGCGGCCCCTGGGGCGTGCCCACCTGTGTTTCTGTCACCTGAAGCCTTGAGGGCCAGATGGCCTGCTGGGGGCTGGGACTGGGGCCTGGGGTCCTGGGAGCCTGGGGAAGGTCCAGGGCAGACCCAACTCCCTCACCCACCCCTCTCCCTTCACTTACATGGCACTGGCCGTATAGCTGGCATCGCCGCCCTCCACATACTGCACCTGGCTGGAGTACACGTGTGGGACGGGCACCTGCTGGAGCTGCTGCACCTGGGGCAGAGGAAGGGCACGTGGAGGGTCAGGCGTGGGCCAGCTCCTACAGTTCTGCCTCTAAAGGGCTGGTGTCCACCCAGGCTATCCCTGACGCTCAGCTCCCAGACCCCAAGGGTGGCTTACGGACTCTCAACAAAACACCCTGGAGGAGGCCAGGGCTGGGGATCAGGAAGAGCTGTGTCAGGAGGAGAAGCCGGGACTCTCGGCTTCGACTGGGGACAGCAAGGGTGGGGCCTGACGGGCAGTGGAGGGGACCCGAGACAGGGTCCTGCCGTGGGCGTGAAGGTTGGACCCCAGACACACGGGCAAGACTATCGCTGGAGCCAGAGCCTGGAGCTACAGAAAGGGCCTCAGGGGGCGGGGCCTGGAAACAGGGCACAGGATGTAAGGGGCGGAGCCTGGGGCCCCGGTTGGTGGGACAGAACCTGGAATCACTGACAGGGCCTTAGGGGCGGGGCCTGAGTCCCCCAACCTCCATCCCCCCACCCTTGTCTGCAGGGGCGGAGCTGGGACCTGGACTGGGCTTGGGTGGGGAGTCAGAGGCGGGTCCCCAGACCGACCCGTCGGGCGGAGGTGGGGTCTACAGGGCTTGCGGGGCCTGGTGGGCGGCCCAGACCGGGCGCCCCCGCCCCCGCCCGCCCGCTGCCCCCCGCCCGTGCGTCCGCCACCTACTTTGAGGGCCGTGGCGGCCGTGCCGAACACTAGCACCTGGGGGATTCTCTGGATCCTGACCCTCTGGTCGGGGCTGGCTCGGGCCGGGAGCCGCGGCAGTGGCTCGAAGACCACTTTCTGCTGCGGCAGGAGCAGGTGTGGGGGCAGCACGCCCACCAGCTCCACCCACTGCTCGGCGCCCGGCTCGTAATGGGGCGGCGGCGGCTCGGGGCTGCCTAGCTGCGGGGCCTCGCCGCTGCACGCGGGCGGCCGGGGCGGCGGCTCCGGCGGCGGCGTGGGCCGGGGATCTCGCTGCTCTGCCTTCCTAGCGGGAAACTGACTGCCTGAGCTCTGGAGGACAAACAGAGACACTGGGGGGTCAACGGGGGCGGCCGCGGGTGGGGCTCCAGGCCTCCACCCACCGGGTTGCTGAGCTCGCACGCAGCCACCCGAGGGAAGATCCCCGCCGCCCGGGGTCTCGAAGAGGGGTTAGAACTGACCCAGGGCCACGCAAGAAAGAAGCGGAATTTGAATCCAGATCTCTCTTAGCAAAACCTGGACCCTGAGCTGCCAGGGGGCCAGGAAAGAGGAAGGATCTAGGGCAGAGTCTGCAGCTCACTGAGGCGTTTCCCTCCCTGCGGCCTCAGGGGCCTGCACTCCCCAGCCCCAGCCCGGGACCAACCCCTTTGCCCCTGGGGTAGGAGGGGGAGACACACACCTCTTGAGCCACGTGGACTGGCTGGAGGCCCTGCACGGTCAGCGGCTGCACCGGGCCGGCTTTGGGAGCTTGTGGAGTGGCCTGGACCACAGACCTCTGGGAGGGGAAAGGCAACGTTAAGATGACCATGGCAACGATGGCCGTCAACCCACCCAGCCCCTGCACGGGCGAACTTCTGTAAAGCTCACAGCAGGCCAAAGCTCACAGCAGGCCGTAAGCAAGAGGCCGCTGTTTTCCAGCCAAGCAAGGAGGGTGCTGGATCCATTACTAATGGGCACCTACTCACAGGGGTAAAGTGAGGCTCCCAGGAAGCGGCAGGGCTGAGTTGAACCTGGGACTAACTGCGGGGTCTCTGCTCTCCACCCCCTCTCCCTACAGGCCCCTGAAGCTGTGCCAAGAACCCGCAGGCAAGGCCTTGGGTTATCTTTCGTCCCCACCCCGCCCCCCATGTCAACTGTCTGCCCTGTTCTGTGCTGTGGTGGAGATGCGGGGATTATCCTTGGGGTGCAGAGCCAGGGACGGAGGCTGGTGGAAGAGGGTGCTGAGTGGAGAAGCTGGGGCCTGGACCCAGGTCTGGAGGTTTGGGGGGCTCTAGTGCCAGGCAGGGGAGTATCTGTGAATTCTCTGAGACAGGGTTTCTGTTTACACTTGGGAAAGGGTCTATGAATTTCATCTGTTTTCAAGGGGCTGGGAACCCCTCAACTTCGTTGGTAACAACCAGGTGGCACACAGTCCCAGTGTCTTAACCTGCGCTGGCTCAGGGCTCTGCGTCCTTGCAGAGGCTGGGTGTGGATTTGGGCGCTGGGTCCCCTCCCTGAAACCCTGCCCAGAAGGAGGAGGATGTGGCCTCGGGGCTTCCTTCAGGTAAATGGGCCCAAAGAGGCTCAGGTGGTTTCTCCAAGTGGTTCCCCTGGCCCACTATGCCCCAGTCTCCTTCCAGGAGGTCCAATTTCCTCCTCCCCACGGCTCCCCCCATCCTCCAGCCCCAGGATGCTGAGTCTGGAAACAGGGAGAGATGCTTATCAAAGGCCAGGGTGGCAGGCTGGGGCTGGACCCACATGGGCTGGGCTCTAATAGTCCAGAGGCACAGCCATGGGGGGCTGCAGAGGCTGCCTGGCCGGTACCCCTGGTCCGAGCCGCTGCCCGCCTTGGCCTGGCACCTCTTGGGTGACGGGGACACTCTGCTGGACGCCGTGAACCTGCAGCTGCTGTGGCACCGTGCCCGTGGGGGCCCCAGCCGTCTTGCTGGAAGAGCTGTTGGCCTGCACCGGCGACTGCTGTAAGGGAAGGAGACACAGGAGTGCCGCTGGGGTGGGTTCACATCCTCTCTGGGGTGGGCTCACACTCCCTCTGGGACACCCGGGCCCTCACACACACCCTTCTCAGGAGAGCTGTCTGGGGAGGGCGGCAGCCTGTAGGGACCTATCCCAACCACCCAGGCTGCTAACTGACCATGTCCCATGCATCCAAATGCCTACTCCCGGCAACGGCCCCAGTCAACTCCTGGCAACGATGGGGGTTTAACCCTCCCCAGCAAGGTTGGCTGATGGTGGGTGGTGCCCCCGGCACCCCTGACGCTCTCCAGGGGCTGATCCTCAAAGGTTATAGCAATGACAGCAGCCTCTGGTGTGATATTGGGCCAACTCCCACCAGACACTGCACTTTGAATGTGTGCTTTGAATGTACTCATTGGAATCTCACGGCACTCCCACTTCCCAATGGAGGGGCAGAGGGGAAGGGACAAGCCCCAGGTCACATGGCTGTAGGCGGTGAGGCACAGGGCTGAGCCCAGGCAGGCTGGCCATGGAGCACTGTGTCTGCTCTGAGCCCCGCTGTGCCTCAGGCTGTAATGCCCACCGCAAGCTGAGGGGTGGTTGATACCATCAGTTGTTTGACACAGAGAAAACTGGGGGCTCAGAAGGCTCAAAGGGGCCGGGCATGGTGGCTCACGCCTGTAATCCCAGCACTTTGGGAGGCCGAGGTGGGCAGATCACCTGAGGTCAGGAGTTTGAGACCAGCCTGGCCAACATGGTGAAACCCCGTCTCTACTAAAAATACAAAAATTAGCCGGGCGTGGTGGCGCACGCCTGTAATCCCAGCTACTGAGGAGGCTGAGGCAGGAGAATCGCTTGAACCTGGGAGCTGGAGGTTGCAGTGAGCTGAGATTGCGCCACTGCACTCCAGACTGGGGGACAGAGCGAGATTCTGTCTCAAAAACCAAACAAAGCTCAGAGGCCTGCCCAGAGTCCCACAGGAGAAAGCGGCCGGGCCAGCCATCTGACCCCGAGCTCCTGATGCAGACAGCATCCACAGCCTGACTTCAACACCCTCATTGGTGGTGGGGTCCCCAGAATCTACCCTGTGGTCCGAGGCTTCCTGGAAGAGACTGTCCCACCCTCCGGAGGGAAGAGGAACCCAGTTTGTTTCTCGAATGCAGTTCCCTGAGCTGGAGCTGCCAGGGCCATCTCAACCCAGGAAATCACCTCCTTCTCCCAGAGCAGAGCTCCACGGCCGCTTAGCTCAGAGCTGGCAGATCCAGGAATTGGGCAGCTAAGCCACCCTACCTGGGGTCAAGAAGGGCATCGCGCTGGGAGTGAAGAGGGAAGCAGGACTTTGAAGGAGCAAGTAGGCTTGGCGGGGGGCAGGGAGCCCCAAATATACTATAGGGATACATTGCTGACCTGGGGAGACATCGGGGGGAGGGCGGCTAACAGGACCACCACTTACCTCTGGGGGTGAGTGTACCTGCTGGGTACCGTGGACCGTCAGGGAGACCTGGCCACCTTTGCTGCCTGGGGCTGCGCTCTGCACCACCAGACGCTGCGTGGGAAGAGCCTGGAGCCAGGGAGGGAGAGGGAAGGCAGATCACTGATGACAGCACCGAGCATCTGTGCAGTGCCAGGCGACATTCTAAGTGCTTCACGCCTGTTAGCTCACAGAATCGCCCTGACAGCCCTGATGAAGCTCAGCTACTGCCCCCGCTTCACAGAGGGTGACACCAAGGCTCAGGACGGCAAAGGCGCTTATCTGAGGTCCTAGAGCCAGGAAGTGGCGGAGCCGGAGTTGTTGTCAGGCCATGTGGAATGTGCTGTCATCCTTAAAACCCAACAGTACTAGGCTGGGTGCGGTGGCTCACATCTGTAATCCCAGCACTTTGGGAGGCCGAGGCAGGCGGATCACCTGAGGTCAGGAGTTCGAGACCAGCCTGACCAACATGGTGAAATCTCGTTTCTAATAATAATAAAAAAATTAGCGGGGCATGGAGACGCATGCCTGTAGTCCCAGCTACTCAGGAGGCTGAGGCAAGAGAATTGCTTGAATCTGGGAGGCAGAGGTTGCAGCGAGCCGAGACCAAGCCATTGCAAAACCCGACAGCACTTTGTCCAGTTCTGTGCTGATCAATCGGAAACGGGTGAGCCTGGCACCTCATGTGCAGCCTTCTGGGGCACAGACCACCCTGTGCTGGCTATGGACTCCTGACTCGAAACCTGGCCTTGGGCTCTCTGCTTCAGGACACCAGGCTGGACCCGTAAACCATCTTCCCAACTATATATCCTGTTCTCTCTGCTGAGGTGGCTCCTGCAGCTCCTCTGTCCCCAATGGCCCCTGCCTGATAGTCTCACCCTGGGGAGGTGACTGCCCAGAGCCAGGAGGTAGGGGAGCCCCTGGATGGGGCGTCTTCCTCCGATCCTGGTGAGGACAGATCCTGGTTTGCCACAGGGGTTGGTCCTCCACCCTGAAGGGGCCTTCCAGGGTGGGGGCCAGGTACACCAGCCTTACCTGCTGGGGCACTTGGATGTTGGTCAGCTGGAGGGGCGACACGTGGCCCGGCTTGGCCTGCACACTCGTCTGGACCAGCAGCCGCTGTGGAGACAAGGCAGGAGGAGCTGAGCTGCCGCTTCCCCCAGGGAGGCCTGGTGCGGTTGGGTGGCGGGCGGCTGCTGTGCACATCTTGATAAGAACAGGTGAGCAGATGGCTCCAGCAGGAAGCAGGGAGGGGAGGCGAGGCCCCCAAGGCCGCAACCTGCACTGCCCCCTTCACAGGCCCTCCCCCGCCCCCTGGGAGGGCCACATCCTACCTGCTGGGTGCCCTGCACCTGCTGAACCACCTGAGTAGGAACACCGGTCTGGCTGGCAGTGGAGCCGGGGCTGGCCTCCGACACCGTCTCGCTGGCCCGCATGGCACCTTCTGTGGGGAGGGGCCACCAGGTCAGCTCTGCCTGCTGTCCCCGCCCCCAGCCTAAGCCTGAGCCCACCTGGAGGGGAAGATGCAGCCTGAAGCCAACCCCCAGCAAGGTCAGGCCCCTCCAAGTCCTGCTTACCCCCAGCCAGCCCTGACTGCACCCATCAGGGGCCCACGCGGCAGAGTGTGCTGGGGCCTGCAGGACCGAGGATGCTTAATACCTGGAAGCAGCCCTCATCAGCTTTCCTCATCCTGAAGCCAGACCAGATAGGGTGACTGAAGAGCTATGATGCTCAAGACCCAGGAGGCTGGGCCCTTCCCAGCAGACGGGACTTGTGGACGGGCAGGGAACTGACTGTCCACTCCAGGGTCCTGGCAGTGCTGGAAGGACCGAGGCGCTGGGGCCACATTCTCTGGGGTGACCCCTGGCTTCCCAGGAGTGGAAGCTGCTCGGAGGAGTGGTCCCTGGAAGGTCTTGCTAGCCTGTGGCCAAGTCCTCCCTCCCTGACCCTCTGTCCTCAGTGGGGTGGGGACCACAAGGGGCTTGGAGTCGGGGAGGCAGGTACTCACGCTGACAGGCAGCTGAGAAGAGGCAATCATAGAACATGGTGCTCGTCCCCCACCGCCCCACCCGCCCCCTGTCCGTCTGTCCGTCCAGGGGGGCCTGCCTGCTCCTCTTTGCTCCTTGCCCGCCTCTATAGAATAGCAGGGTGTGCAGGTGGCTTTATACCCGCAACCTTGGGGCGCTAATCCCCCCGGTGGATGCGGAGAGCCTGCCTGCCCTCTTGGGAAAACACGCCCCTCCCCAGCAGAGCAGGGCCTTCGAGGGGCTGGGGCAGCGCTGCGGGCTGAGGAGGGAGGTTGGTACCCGGAGACGCTATCGGGCAGGCACAGGTCAAATTTCATGCACATCTTGCTAAGTGATTAGCAGGGGTGCTGGGGGTAGAGGCAAGCGTCCCCAAGAGGCGCTGGCTAGAAGACCCTCACCCCAGCTGGGACGCCATCCATCCCATCCCCTCCATGTGACCTGGTTTACCCCCAGCAGCTCCAGAGGCCGAGGTGGGGCTGGGGGTGGACATGTACCTGCCCTTCCTCCACTGCCAAGGAGCCAAGGTCCCAGGCCCATTTTTCTTGTGGATTTAGAGGGGTTTATCCAACCCCCGGCAGCACTGAAGGGCCACGGGCAAGGAGTTATCACTGCACACGCTAGTGTTGCTTCTGGCACACTAGGTGTTATGTTAGACTCTGGACAGCCAGAGACAGTAAGAGCTTTTTTGTTTTCTGAGACAGGGTGTCACTCTGTCACCCAGGCTGGAGTGCAGTAGCATGATCTTGGCTCACTGCAACCTCTGTCCCCTGGGGTTCAAGCAATTATCCTGCCTCAGCCTCCCAAATAGCTGGGACTACAGGTATGCACCACCATGTCTGGCTAATTTTTGTATTTTTAGTAGAGATGGGGGTCTCGCTATATTGCCCAGGCTGGTCTCGAACTCTTGGACTCAAGCATGTCCACCTGCTTCTGTCTCCCAAAGTGCTGGAATTATAGGCGTGAGCCACTGTGCCCGGCTGACGTTAAGAGCTTTTCATTTTTTTTTTTTTTTTTGAGACAGGGTCTCACAGTCGCCCAGGCTGGAATGCAGTGGTGCAATCTCGGCTCACTGAAATCTCCACCTCCTGGTTCCAGTGATTCTCCTGCCTCAGCCCACTGAGTAGCTAGGACTACAGGCACCCGCCACCACGCCCAGCTAATTTTTTGTGGTTTTAGTAGAGACAGGGTTTTGCCATGTTGGCCAGGCTGCTCTTGAACTCCCGGCTTCAAGTGATCCGCCCGCCTCGGTCTTTCAAAGTGCCGGGATTACAGGCGTGAGCAACTGCGCCCAGCTGACAGTAAGAGCTTTTATTACCCATTTTCAGACAAGGCAACAGAGACCAGAAACAAGGACGTGATCTGTCCAAGGTCAAATGCGCCATCCACCGTGCAGGCCATGATACACGTTCCCCTCTGGGCCCACACAAACCTCATACCACACATGGAACCTGAAGTCACTGGTTCTGCCCGGGCTGAGCCCCAAGGGCAGGGATGTGTGGACTTGGGTATATGGGCACGGGAAAGAAAGTAAGCTGGGGGGCCGGGCGTGGTGGCTCACGCCTGTAATCCCAGCACTTTGGGAGGCCAAGGCGGGTGGATCACAAGGTCAGGAGATCGAGACCACGGTGAAACCCCGTCTCTACTAAAAAATAGAAAAAAATTAGCCGGGCGCAGTGGCGGGCGCCTGTAGTCCCAGCTACTCGGGAGGCTGAGCCAGGAGAATGGCGTGAACCCGGGAGGCGGAGCTTGCAGTGAGCCGAGATCGCGCCACTGCACTCCAGCCTGGGCGACAGAGCGAGACTCCGTCTCAAAAAAAAAAAAAAAAAAAAAAAAAGAAAGTAAGCTGGGGGTCTATGGGGACCCAGGTATCCAGACTTGGTCTCGGGTGTCCAGGCAGGGCACAGGAAGGAGAGGGGCCTGGACAGGACAGGAGGGTTGTCCAGGGCAGATGCAAAGGCCAAGTCAAGGACAGAGGGCATGAGTGTGTGTTGGGGGCGGGGGTTGCAAGATGTGGGAGGAGGTGTCGGGGGAGGCCTCTGCATGGCCTCATGTGGGCTGTGGGACATTGGGTCAACCCCAGGCCTGCCTGACCAGCTGCCCATGCAGCCAATTCCACAGGCCCCTATGTTTTGCTGAATCTTCCCTGGTATCTTTAGGCTTCCCTGGGCCATAAGGGAGGAGGCCCTCACTGAGAGGGCCCCTCCTGAGAGAAACCCGAGACAGCCCCAAGTCACGTGACCAGCCCTGCACACCTGGGTCCGTGGGGCCCAAGGACTCAGGCCCAGCCTAAGGGATAGAGTCTCACCCAGGAAGCTCAAGGTGGGCAGGGAGTGGTGGGCTGGCCCCCACCACCTCCGGGGCTCAGGGACTGGTCCCTGAGCAGGACCCACAGCAGGAGGAGGCCTGGGGACCTGCTGGGACCAGGTGGCTATCTCCAGGAAGCAGCCTTGCCCGTCTCCTGCCTCTGGGGTAGCCCTCAAGGCTGGGACCCCGTGCCTGCCAGCCCAGGAGGGCACCAGGGGATGCGCCACGAGGCTGAACAGGTGAGCCTGAGTGACTCGTGCGGATGAGGGCTTCCTGTGCAGCTGTCCCTGTCTGCCTGTGGCTGGGGCAGGGCCCCTCCACTGCTGGGTCTGGCCCTCTCTGTGTTTCAGCGAAGGGAAGCCAGGAGGGGAAGTGGGGGGTGGCACTGAGTCTGCGAGCGAGCGTCTGCATCTATCTGCCGGAGATTGCCACTCTGGGCATGTGCAGGAGGCCAGGGAGGCCCCCACTGTCTCAGGAAACGGCGGCCGATTTCCTGTCCCTGAATCTAACACATCAACATCTCTGAGCAGTGGAATGACTCTGACAAGTGGGCACCCGTCCTCCCCGAGCCCCGCACTTCCCCATCTAGACCTACTCAAACATTAAATGAGCTACTTGGGGGAGCCCAGGGGAGGCCCGAGAGGCTGGGCTCCTGGCATCCACCATGGGGAGCTGGCCCGCTTCCCCATGGACAGATGAGGCCACCTGACTCTCTGCCTCCTGCCCCAGGGGCTCCTGGAGGGGCCCCTGCTGCCCCCAGTGTCCTCTGTCCTGTGTCTGCTCCACCCTCAGTTTCCCCATCTGTGCTTGAGAATGCTGACAAACACCCTCCACTTCCCTCTCTGGACACAACTCTTCTTGGACCCCCCAAACCCCAAGTGAGAGAGGAGCGGGGAAGAAGGGCTGGACTCGGCCCCTCCTTCAGGGCGGCCCTGTTCCCTGTAGGCCAGCTCGGTTTCACCTTCCCAGGAGTGGCTGCCAGAGCCCATAGCACGCTCCTTCCACCTTGGGTTCTAGGAGAGTCTGATGGCCTCTGAGGACAGGGATTTATGGATCTAGTATTGTTCCTGACCAGGGAAACTTGATCTTCCTTCCTACCACCTCCAAAGTCACCTTTAGGCAGGGCAGGCGTGGACTGGGGCTGGGTGAGCTGTGTCTGGTGTTGGTGTCGGCTGGCGTCCAGCCCCAGGCTCCAAGTCTGGGTCCAGGCCCCTCCCTTCCTCTTCCCTGCCGACTCCCTGGGTCTCTGGTCAGCTCCGATTGCTCCTGGCTTGGGAGAAGTCCCAGGTGCCTTATGGCAGCCTTCACTGGTGTCAGTTACTCCCGCTTCCCCGGCGCTCACGTGGCCCCGGCCACCCTTAGATGAGGAGGGACGCTAACCTGGCAGAGGGTCAGGGAGGAAGGCTGGGGAATTACTGCAAGGGGTGGGGGAGGGGACAGCTGGCAGGACACAAGCCAACCTCCTCTTCCTCAGAACAAATCCAGGAAGCACTGCCCAGTGACCCTTCTGGGGACAGGCTGGCAACTGCCAGAATGTGGATGGCAGGGAAATGAAATTCCCTGGGACCACTGTGAAAGGCGACTAAGCCACCGCCTGACCAAGTGAGCCCCAGAGAGTTCTGGGGACAGCAGGGTTGCTGCAGCCTGCCCTCCTGGGTACAGAGTACCCTCCTGGGAGCACTACCAAGATGGGGGAGACAGAAGTCACCTCCCCGTGCCCCACAGCTACTTAAGAGTCCCGCCTGGCTCTGTCTGACCCAAAGACCATGCCTTGCTCTTGACTTCTTGCTCTTCTTCGTGCAATGGCGCGATCTCGGCTCGCTGCAACCTCTACCTCCCGGGTTCAAGCGATACTCCTGCCTCAGCCTCCCCAGTAGCTGGTACTACAGGCACACGCCAACACGCCCAGCTAATTTTTGTATTTTTATTAGAGACGGGGTTTCACCATGTTGGCCAGGCTGGTCTTGAACTCCTGACCTCAGGTGATCTGCCTGCCTCAGCTTCCCAAAGTGCGGGGACTTGGTCTTGACTTTGAAGCACCAGGGCCTCCCTGGGGGAGTGCGGGAAGAGCTAGAGAAGCCAAGGCCAAGAGTGGAAGGACTTGGGGAGTGGTGGAGCCTAGAGCTGTGTGCCCACTCCAGACCCTGGCTCTAGGGAGCCTGGACCCTGAAGCAGGTAAGACCCACACCTAGGGCGTGGATCAGGACCCATCAGACACTCTGGGGGGCAAGCGGAGTCATCCACTGGTGACATGCGAGGCCTCTTGCAAACAGTCAGCCATGCAGGAGCTGACAGGACATGATGGCTGTGCTAGGTGCTCCTCTAGGCTGTTCTGGGTCAGGCTGGTGCTCCTCAGTCATTCCACAGAGACTGAGCACTGACAGAGCCCTGCCTGCAGGTGGGCACCCCCACCCTCCCATTATCATAACTTCAACTGGTGATAAGTGTTAAGAAGACCAGCAGGCCGCAGTGGTTCACGCCTGTAACCCCAGCACTTTGGGAGGCCGAGGCAGGCAGATTACTTGAGGTAGGGAGTTCGAGACCAGCCCGGCCAACGTGGCAAAACACCATCTCTACCAAAAAATACAAAAATTAGCCTGGCATGGTGGTGTCCCCTGTAATCCCAGCTACTCAGGAGGCTGAGGCAGAAGAATCGCTTGAACCCGGAAGGCGGAGGTTGCAGTGAACCGAGATCGCACCACTGCATCCAGCCTGGGCGACAGTGAGACTTTGTCTCAAAAACAAACAAACAAGACAGAGAGTGAGCAGTGGGGGCAGGGGCAGGGAGGTGTGGGAGTCAGAAAGGTGGTATCTGAGCAGAGACCTGAGGGAGACAAGAGGCAAGCTCCCAGAGGGACTGGGGCAGGGAGTGCTCCTGGCAGAGGGTACCGAGAGTACAAAAGTCAGGAGGCAGGACTGAGCCTGGCGGGTCTGTGGAGCTGTAGGAAGGCCAGAGGGGCTGGACCAGGTATGTGAGGGGATGGGTGGAAGTGGGCAAGGCTGGGAGGCTGGCAGGCCAGAGTTGAAGGGGCTTGGCATTTGCTAGTAGGGACACAGGGTGTGTGGAGCGCTGTTTTTTTTTTTTTTTTTTTTTTTTTGAGATGGAGTTTCACTCTGGTTGCCCAGGCTGGAGTGCAATGGCACAATCTTGGCTCACTGCAACCTCCGCCTCCCAGGTTCAAGCGGTTCTCCTGCCTCGACCTCCCAAGTAGCTGGGATTACGGTGCTCGCCACCATGCCCAGCTTATATATATATATATATATATATAGAGAGAGAGAGAGAGAGAGAGAGAGAGAGAGAGAGAGAGTGTAGCTGTTAAAGCCCTTTTTTTGTCAGGTATCAGGGGAAGGAGCCTGCTCTCCCAGAGTGAGAAAGCCTAGGCTGGGGTTTCTCAAAGAGGGCCCATGGAACCACCTGGCTTGGAGCCATCAGGGTCGAGCTAGGATGTGACAGGACCTAATGGGCAGTTGTGAACCAGCTCCCTCTGGCTGCTGGGAGGGGTCAGACTCTGAGGGCAGAAGCTGGACCAGGATTGGGGTCGTAGAAGTGGAAGAGGAGGGTGGGTTCTGGAAGAGTTTAGGAGGTGGAGCCAAGAGGTCTTACTCAAGGAGGAGTAGGACAGAAACAAGACTGACCGTGGGCCTGGGAGGATGAGAAAGTCTTGAAGGAGAGAAGATTTGAAGAGGGAAAAATGCAGAACTCAATTTGGCTGCACTGGCCTGCAGCGAGTTCAACACCGAGTGGATGAGTCAAGAGTGGCTAGATGTGGGGTCCTGGGGTTCAGGGTTGCAGCCCAGGCTGGAGACCTCAGTGTGGGCATTGAGAACTGGGACACAGGATGAGGCCATTGTGAAAGGAGAACTACAGGAGCTAAGAGAGGTTCCCAGGCCTGAGTCTGGGGCTCCCCCTCCTTTGCCGACAAGGTCAGGGAGATGAGGAGAAGCAGCAGAGGGGACCACGGAGGGGCTGCAGGGGGGTGGGCGGAGACCAGGGCAGAGGGCTCCTGGAGGCCTCACAGGAGGGGATCTTTGGGAAAAAGGGGGCCAGCTGCAGGGGGTCCAGGAGCTGGAGGTTCCTGGATAAAATGGGGGCTTGGCTGGGTGCGGTGGCTCACATTTGTAATTCCAGCACTTTGGGAGGCTGAAGTGGGAGGATTGTTTGAGGCCAGGAGTTCAAGACCAGCCTGGGCAACATAGTGAGACTGTTGCTACAAAAAAATTAAAAGATTGGGCCGGGTGCGGTGGCTCACGCCTGTAATCCCAGCACTTTGGGAGGCCGAGGCGGGCGGATCACAAGGTCAGGAGATCGAGACCATGGTGAAACCCCGTCTCTACTAAAAATAGAAAAAATTAGCCGGGCGCAGTGGTGGGCGCCTGTAGTCCCAGCTACTCGGGAGGCTGAGGCAGGAGAATGGCGTGAACCCGGGAGGCGGAGCTTGCAGTGAGCTGAGATTGCGCCACTGCACTCCAGCCTGGGCGACAGAGCGAGACTCCGTCTCAAAAAAAAAAAAAAAAAAAAATTAAAAAAGATTAGGCTGGGCGTGGTGGCTCACGTCATGGGCGTGGTGGCTCACGTCTGTAATCCCAGCACTTTGGGAGGCCAAGGCGGGCGGATCACGAGGTCAGGAGATCGAGACCATCCTGGCTAACACAGTGAAACCCCGTCTCTGCTAAAAATACAAAAAATTAGCTGGGCATGGTGGCGGGCGCCTGTAGTCCCAGCTACTTGGGAGGCTGGGGCAGGAGAATGGCGTGAACCTGGGAGGCAGAGCTTGCAGTGAGCCAAGATCGCGCCACTGTACTCCAGGCTGGGTGACAGAGCGAGACTTTGTTTCAAAAAAAAAGATTAGCTGGGCGTGGTGGCACATGTCTATAGTCCCAGCTACTTGGGAGGCTAAGGTGAGAGTATCACTGAGCCCAGGAGTTGGAGGTTACAGTGAGCCATGATTGCACCATTGCACTCCAGCCTGGGTGACACAGCAAGACCCTGTCTCAAAAAATAAATACATAAAAAATAAACAAAATGGGTGCTCTTCCACCTTGATGGGTGGATGGGAAGATCTGCAAGAGGGGGATTAAGTCATGCGGAAGGGACTAGAAGGAGCAATGGCAGAAGTGTGTCCTGGATATGGGCGATGCTGCTTAATCCAAGGAGAAGGCAGAGGTGGTGGGTGCAGATGCACCCCAGGAGTTGGGCGGGAGAAGGGGTCCCTGTGGTTGCCTGATGGTACTCTGTCCCCAGTAAGGCTGCCTCAGGGTCAGGAACCAGGAGCATAATATGAGACAGAGGTGATGGAGGTGAAGGCGGGGTAGAGGGAGAATGGGTTTCTTGGAGCATGAAGTTCACTGTTAAGGAAATGTTGCGGGATTTCTGAGCAGTGCTGAGAACCCACCAGGGGCTCACCAGTCCGCAGCCTGACCTCAACCAGGGCAGGGCTGTGTCTACACAGGCAGGAGGGCACTAAGTGTGGCGCTCATGTGGACATCTCCACTCCGTCCATACAGTAAAGAATCACTGCCCTGAGTCCCTGCATGTCCCCATCCCAAACCTCTCCCAGAGACCCCGGACCTCCCATGTGGACACTGCCAGAAGCCTCTGGGACACTGCCCAGGGTCCCAGCCCCATCTGCTCTGTTCCACGATGGGGCCAATTGCTACACTTTTCGTTTTTTTTTTTTTTTTTTTTTTTGAGATGGATTCTCGCTCCATCACCCAGGCTGGAGTGCAGTGGCGCAATCTCAGCTCACTGCAACCTCTGCCTCCCAGGTTTAAGTGATTTTTTCTGCCTCAGCCTCCTGAGTAGCTGGGATTACAGGCTCGCGCCACCACACCCAGCTAATTTTTATATTTTAGTAGAGACGGGTTTTCACCATGTTGGCCAGGCTGGTCTCAAACTCCTGACCTCAAGTGATCCGCCCATCTCGGCCTCCCAAAGTGCTGGGATTACAGATGTGTGCCACTGCACTTGGCGAATTGCTACATATTTTGATGACTCTTTATGACCTTATGGTCCCCAATCACATCTTCACCCACCCCTTCCATAGCCCCTCAGGATGCCCTGATGGTCTCACCCCTTCCATTCCCATTCTGAGAAGGACCAGAGTGAGCTGTGATCCAGGCTCCCACTGAGGCCTCTGTCCTCCACAGAGCACATTAAAAACACAGCAGCTGGGCACAGTTGCAGGGGCCTGTAGTCCCAGCTACCCACGAGGCTGAGGCAGGAGAATCACTTGAGCCCAAGAGTTCGAGGTCAGTCTGGACAGCATAGCAAGACCCCATCTCTAAACCAAAAAAACACACAAATCTAGCCCAATGCCCAGGCTGTGCTGCCATTCCCATCAGAGCACTGAGTCCGTCGAGACAGACACCCAGCCCTCAGGCAGACCCTAAACAAGCCAAAACATCATCACTACGTTTACTATGGGAAATGCTCAGAGGGCAACAGGTCTGTCCAAGATGGCCTGCTCTCAACGCAGGTCCTGTGTGCCTTAGCCTATGTCATGAGAAAGAAAAGCAAAAACAAAGAAAAGGGCCGGAGCCTGGATCCTGCCCAAAACAACAGCGTGGCTCCTCTAGGAAGGGGAGGTGACATGTACAGGCCCCCCACAGCTGACCTCCCTGAAGTGCCCACTCGAGGCCATCCTGGCTATTAGACCCTCGCATGTGTCCCCTGAGAGCGAGGAGCTGTGATGATTCCACCACAAATGAGGAAACCAGAGCAGGGAGATCAAAAGACTGGTGTGTAGACAGGCCAGGCCTGGACCACACCCTCTGTCTCCCACAGGTCCATGCAAATTTTGATGCCACTGCCCAAACCCTTCTTCCAGGGACATCTTACTTGCA